TCTTTCCGCATTTCTATATTGAGTTTAACTCTTGTTTCTTTTTATGAAAATTCTGTTTTAAAAGGGCTTTTTAGCATATCTTTGAATGAATTACTGAAGCATTGTGAAAGTCGGCTGGCCTAGTACCATCGCTAGGCGCCATCACGACAGGTTTGAATTTAGGATCGTGACAACAGCCCTTTGTTAATCGTGTGTGGTTGTTTGGCAATGCTTCCCGGGGTCTCGTTATTCGAATTAGGTCTGGGGCATGATCACGATGGCTCCAGGGGCAGATATTTTATTCGGGTTTTGATACGGGCGACTCCCAGATTTAATTTTCACTACACGCAGTTATGTCCTCTCTTCGTCCCACCGAAAAATCGGGGTGCTCAATACTCTCGATTTTACCCGTATACAACCTTGGCTTTTTTAAAAGGAAAATGACACATTTATCGTTGTAGTATTTTATCACCCAGATTAAGTGATCCTGGGATAACTATTCTAGCCTCGATATGTGATAGAATCATAGAATAATACAACAATTGCAATATAAATTAATCCCGTGATTTCTAATCCCGAATATAAAAACTCAACTAAATACTTCTAATCTGGGAATTATTATCCCTTATCCCACCAACTAAACGACCTCTAACCCTTTTACCCGTAAAAATTGATAACTAATAAGATACATATTATGTAAAATTTGATTTTCAAAATGTCGTAGTTGTGAAAATTTTAACTTTATTCTTGCTATATGCCATCTGTGCAAGTGCAACCGGTCCACATCCGACTCAAGAACCGGCAGTCAAAAGTAAGAACAAATTAGACGCCACAGTCCCTTAACTCCAACACCAACTCCTCAGTTTCCTTCAACATAGACACCACATATAATCAATCTTGACGAATTAACCCAAATAGTCGCCCACCTGATCTCTTAAATTAAAAATATCGATATATGTATAATTCGTGTATAATATATGTATAATTGTATAATTAATGTATAATCTATGCATACCGGCTAGAAAAAGTAAACATTGAATCTAGCTGGCTATTTGTGTAACTATCCCAATAATCTTACCCCTTCATCTGTGGTCACGTGGAATCACAAAATAATTCGTTTGACTCTCGAAATTTGGATATTGTCACATAAATTGAGACAAAATAATATTATCCATACTTGAGTTTACACCACACAACTTCAGCGGCTCATATACCTATCTCCTTAGCTTATACTTTGTAAATTGTTTACCTCTAAGCTATAGATTTAATAGGTACAGTGAAGCTATAGTATCAACAAGATAATGAGAGCTGCGTAAATATAGGAATGAAAATATGGGAGCGCAGGGTTTTGGCATGGTATAACAATATACTCATATAATTGACAGAAAATATCCCTAATTATAGATATTGGCATCAAATAGCCAATAAATATATATCACAATAATAATATGTATATCACAACTTTTTTTTCTTCTTCTTTATCTATATCAACAGTATATTAAATTTTTATTTTCATTCTTTGTATATAAATAATATTATTCTTTGTATATAAATTCAAAAATAGATATTTAACATTTCAAAAATATAGAAGATCATATGCATATAAAACGTAATTGTACATTAATAAGGCTAATATTGCAATTATATGCAAATTAGCTTTAAAAATACAAAATGCAATTATAAAAATGTACAAAGATATTTTAACAATATTTTGGCATAAATGTAGAATTTAGATGACTGAATTACCACAAAAATAATTTGAAGGATAATTATTGGGGATTTTATGAGAAAAAGGGAAGGAAATAAATCAATTTAAAATCTTTAAAAATATAGAAATATTGCTGCATTTATATCAATGTATATCACAATAAAAATATTGTATAATTTGTATATCACAGTGTATAGCACAGCGGACATATGTATACCAAAATAGATATCATAAGTTTATTTTTCTTCTTTGTGTATATCAAAAATTAATTTCTTTTGTATACCCAAATGTTATTTACTCCCACAATTATATTTATTATTTTTATATTTTAGAACTTGCTTAAACATGCTATATCAAAAATTTATTTTCCTTTTTTGATCAATAATTAACAATTATATTATTTGTATATCACAGTGTATAACATAATAATAATGTGTATATCAAAGAAAATTATTAAAATTTTATTTTTCTTCTTTGTATAACACAATTTAGATTGAAAACTCAAGTTCAAGACGACTCCACATGTGTATCCCCTATTGTAACCCTTGTATATCCCTATGTACATCAGTGATATTCATGTATAGTATGTGTATCTGTGTATATCCATGAAAATTTGTGTTATATATACGATATAGTATGTGATATACACGGGCGTCCATAAAAAAATTATGTTGCATACACGATATACAAAGTGATATACACAGACGTCCTTAAAAATTTGTGTGTGATATACAATGATGTACACGATATACAACGTGATATACACATGTCGTAGTTGGATTTTTAGGTTTGATTTTTACCTGAAACCAGTCTAAATCACTTCTAATCTTGCTCAAATTTTGTATATAGCCTCGTTTAGATATTTTCAACCAATTTCAATCACACTCACTCATTCAATCCAACCAAAAAAAGGAAGAGAGAAGAAAAATAAAGTTGAAATATATTTTTGCTCTCTTAGTTTTTGCTAATCTTGCTCAAATTTTGTATATAGCCTCGTTTAGGTATTTTCAACCAATTTTAATCACACCCACTCATTCAATCCAACCAAAAAAAAGTAGAGAGAAGAAAAACAAAGTTGAAATATATTTTTTCTTTCTTAGTTTTTGCTTCTGATTTTCTCTGATATGATATCAACCTTACCTTTTCATCCCACTGATTTTTTTTGCATAATTGCAAGAATTTTTGCTAAACTATGAGAGCAAAAGAGAAGAGATAGAAGAAGAAATACAAGGAGAGAAAGGGGGAGGGAAGCCAAAATAAGCGTGTAGTTTTTTTTGAGAGAGAATAAAAAAGTGAGCAGTTTTTTTAAGGAATTTTTACCTCCTATAGAAAAGGTTAACGCCTTATTTATTTTAAATAAATATCATTTAAAAAAATTATATTCTATAGATACCTTTTAATGTTTATAGCAAAATATCTAATTTTGGTTACCTCCTACCCCTAAGCCACTAAATACGCTATTCAGCTACACTATTTTCCTTCTCTCTCTACTTTGATACATGCCATTCTCTTCTCCCATTCCCTGAAAACACGATGCTCAATCTCAAAATTCCTCTCACCCACATCACCTACCATTAGTCACAAACAGTGATTTTGCATGGTATACCACGAATACTTCTCTGACTTTTCCCCTCAATTTTGTGCAACCCAAATGGAATCCAAAGGAGATGAAGCCTCCGATCGGCGCGCACAACACAGTAAACCCACGAACCTTTCTCAACTTCCGTCATCTTCAATACAAGATTCAAGCTTTAACAGAGTCCTTATTCTACCACCAGAACTCGTTACTGTCTTGCCATGATTTTTGCTCGGCTACTGTACAGGATGCGTGGGAAAAGTGAAATTCAGGGTTTTTGCTCGACGGCGGATTCGCCAGAAATTAGGGTTTGTTCTTGAACAGAGACGGAGTTTGGGGCTGAGCAACTTGATTTTCTGTTAATATATTTCAATATTTTTCAATGTATCACGCTGTATTTTCATGTATTTCATTATATTTATTGTCTTTTTTTTCATTGTCGTTCAATGTATCTCACTGTATTTCATGTATTTTATTGTATTCACTGTCTTTTTTTCATTGTATTTAAACTATCCCGTTGTATTCTATGTATTTCATTGTATTCACTGTCTCGCTATATGCCAATGTATTCATATATTTTTTTAATTAATATGATTGATGTATTCATATGTATTATATAATTTCTCTGAAGATTGCTATGTTTTTGGGGTATTTTTCGGTTGAGAATCTTTTTTATAACTGGAAATACAAAATTTATGTGTTATAATTGAGTTTGTTGAGTTATATTAGGAGTCTATTATGTTAATTAATTCACTTTCCGTTTAAAAACAGTGTAATCCCCTGTTTCACGCCGTGAATACAGTCGAATACAATAATCTATCCAGCTGTAATCCCATGTTTCACGCCATGAATACAGTCGAATACACTCGAATACAACAACTGATTAGCTGGACTTCCCTGATTCACGCCTATTTTTGCTACTGTATTCATGAATACAGTAGCTTAAATACATCTAATACATCTTATAACAACAGAAAATGTATCTACAATCCGTAATATAGCAAATGGTATCTTAATTACCACTAAAAGATAGTGCTTTATGAAAATTTCTCTTTTTTTAATGATTTGGCTATATACAAACCTAATATAAGGCTAAAAAATTGCCAATTTTTGTTATGTGTTGTTATAGGATGCTAATTTTTCTTTTCTTTATCACCCATAATCGTCGGTTGGACGGCACAAGGCTCTCATTAAAGGGTCGTTTGGTTGGAAAACAAGTTATCCCAGAATTAATTATTTCGAGATTAGTTATCCCGAGATTATATACCCTCCCATATGGATAAAAATAATATTACAATTCCGTGATTATTAATTTCGGGATTAGTTATATCGCAATTTCATCCCAATCAAAACTTTAATAAACTCATCTCTAATCTAATTCTAAAATTAATTGTCCTTATCCCTACTACTAAACGAGCATAAATACACAAACTTTGAGTTATACTCCGCCACCTCTTGACCTTGTATTCAGTATTCTTATGCCCAGTGACAAAAGGAAAAAGAAAAAAAACGAATATCAATGATTAAAATCATCTTCTCCATTTTTCTATTTTTGACTGTCCAAAATCAAAAGTCACAAACAGGAAAAGTGATTTTGGTCCCAAGAAGTAAGCATATAAATAAATAAAAAATGAACATTATGCTCGTATCATATAAAAAGCACAGGTATATTAAGATTACTTGCCTTCTTTGCTTCACTAATTCTGATTCTTTGCCTTTCCACCAATCCTCCTACTATATTTTACAAGTTTCTTGAAGTCATCTTCTTTAGACAACACTACAATATTGATAACAATAACTTTGTCTTTGTCTTTGCCACCTTCTGTGCTCTAACAGGATCCTCCACTGAATGGTACTACAGGAGCAACTCTAGGACGTCCTCGTCTTTAAGTTTCTAGTTCATAATGTATCGTCAACGTGAAACCAACCCTTATTTTCTTCCACCAAATATCCCTCCCCTTGAACATGCACCAAAACATCCTCATTTCTCTCCAATTCCTACGGAGATGCCCAATGCAAGAGATCAAACACATGGCTCTGACTCTCATTTTCCAAATCCAACGTTGCCAGTGCCAACACGACAGCAACCACAGCAATATTCAGAATCACAACCCTATTCTGGTGAATCTCATTTACCAACATCAGTACCGCCACCACGACAACAACCACAACAACATTCAGGGCCACAACCCTATTCTGGTGACTCTCATTTACCAACACCAGTACCGCCACCGCGACAGCAGCCACATTCAGGATCTCGGCCACATAGCCAACATCATCGTCATTCTTCCGGTGAGTCTAATGTTGTCAAAGGCTCGCGTAAAGCGCGCTTAGTTGGCACTTTAGTTTAGGCGTCAAGGTGCTAAAACGTCGAATTTTCACTGATGGGCTCCAAATTTAAGATAATACTAGACAAAATATGGGAGAAAAAAATGATACGTACATTTTTTTTTTTTTTTTGGTTTTTAAAATGGATTTTTTACTGATTAAGAATAAGAACTTAATGATTTAGTATAGGCTGCCAGGCACTTAGAGTTTGCCACTCTTTTGGCCAAATAATTATTGATCGTAATTGTATATAGTTACATTTTCTTGTATTGCATTTCTATTTTTGGTCTTTCTCTATTGACGTTTTTCTTGTAGAAATGACACCGGGTAGCCACTTTAAAGGGCTGTTATTTAGGAAATAACTAGTGCGTCATGAATTTTTTTCAGCTTAATTTTTCAGGACAAAAATATCCTGAGTTGTCCTGAAGTTGAGATTTTAAAATTTCAGGACAAAATAAGTATTGGCTAATATCTAAATAGCGTCCTTGAAAATGGCTATATGTGCACTTACCCCGTTTTCCTTCACTAAAGCCCACACATTAACAGATGTTTTGCACTTTAAAGGCCCAACAAACTTTGACACATGCACTTTTGTTTTTAACTACCGTCAAACCTCTCTATAACCGCCTCATTTGTTTCCGATTTTTTTGGATGTTATAGCGAAGTGCTGTTATAGAGAACATAAATTATAACATAGTATGAAAATTGGTTCCCTAAAAAAATTGCTTTTATAGTGAATGATTGTTATATAGCGATGTTGTTATAGAGATGTCTGATTGTACTTTATTCAGGTATGGTGCGAGTGCCTACAAGGCGTAAAACACAGCCATTTGCATGGCTAGTGGCAGGTTTTTGTGCACTTTTCTGGGTCATGGTAATAGTAGCTGGCCTAGCAATCCTCATCATCTATCTTGTCTTTCGCCCAAGAAATCCAAAGTTTGACATTACAAGTGCTACACTCAATGCAGCCTATCTTGACATGGGCTATCTCCTCAATGCAGATGTTACTATACTTGCAAACTTCACAAATCCAAACAAAAGAGGGAGAGTAGATTTCCATTATGCTATCTTAGATCTTTATCATGGTGGTAATCTTTTAGCTTCGAGTTACATCGACCCTTTTTCGACGATGAGCCACGAGTCGAGGTTTCAAGATGTTCATTTGGTGAGTAGCCAGGTTAGGCTACCTTTAGAACATAGCCAACAATTGAAGAAGGAAGTGGAGAGTGGAAGAGTGAAGTTTGAGGTGAAGGGATTGTTTAGAGCAAGGTCTAATTTAGGAAGTTTTCTTCAATATTCTTATTGGTTGTATAGCCAATGTACTATTGTGGTAACTAGCCCTCCAACTGGTGTCTTGATTGGCAGAAAGTGTGTCACAAAGCGTTAACAGTAAAGTTCTTCCTCTCGAGCCGAGGGTCTTTCGAAAACAGCTTCTCTACCTCCCAGGGTAAGGTCTGCGTGCCCATTACGCTCCCCAAACCCTTCTTGTGGGACCCTATTGGGTTGTTGTTGCTGCTCTTTCAGTCATGTTTTGGTTTTTTGGTTTTTTTTGTAAAAAGAAATGATGTTTAAGATGTGATTTGGAACATTAGTTACCTCTTTTTCTTCTTTGTATTTGTATTTTGTTCATTACTATTGTTTAATTGTTGAATCATTTAGTAAAGATTTAAGAGCCAATATTGGCATACAAACTACATTTACATAGTTTTTTCCAGCAAAATCTTAAGAATCGTAAAGTAAAATTAGCAGTAACACACAGTTGGTATGCTACAAATATGTAACCAAAACTGACTGAGAACACATGTAATATACACCATTCTGTCTATTCCTTCAAGTTATCTGCAAGTATTTGACACTGAAGTACATCTATGGCATTTGAACTGTTTCCTTTGTATAACCATTATACACATCTTCTAGTCACAAAACAGACTTCTTGTCGCATTGTATCCGGCAATATTGTCACTAAGCACCACCGATGGAGTTACACGGCCGGGAGGCGGTTCAATTGAACTCCATTCATCGAAAAATTATACTGCACAAATAGGTTGTAAATAATTCTTTTTTATATGTGTATAAATTGTTGAACTCCCTTGACACAAGGGAAATTTTAGTGTAGCGGCAAAGTTGGCTCAAAAATTGCTTTAGGTAGTAGGTTCGAACTCAAGTAAGTAAAGGAGGTCCATTTTCAGCAGCTATCCGAGTATGTTCAGGATGACCATGGTGTCTTGTTTCATGATGACCATGGTGTCTTGTCATTTGAATATGATTAAAATGTGTTCGTTTCTTTGCATAAGGAGCATCTCTCGCTGTATAAAAGGAAAAAACACAGTGATTCATCTATGAGAAAGCACAATACAAAGAAAAAGATCCAATAGACTCGTCTAAGATCATTGTTTAGGGATACATTGCATATGTGAAATGAAAAATCTTACCAGCAATTCTTTGAGCGCGGAGGATATTCTGTCGCCTTTTCCACCAACAGGTTATGCAGATGGCGATAACTATAACAGCCAGGCACGCCCCGAACCCAATGCCAATTTTGGCACCTAGAGAAAGATGCGGTCCACATGTTGGTAATCCAGGAATACCACAAAGGCCTGCATTATCAGTAAAACTGAAAGCATCCACAGTAAGTATTTTGCATAAGTACCAATGAACAAAAATTTCAAAGTTTCTTTATCGATCCTCAAGTTAATACAGCATGAATTGTCATGTTGGTTTCAGCAGATGTACGATAAGCAAGGGCGAAGTCACCTTAGAAGTTACAGGCTCCGCAGAACCCAATAATTTTGGTTCAAACCCTATTTTCGTACAAAGATATGCGCTTAATATGCATAAATAATCTATCTTGAGCCCAGTCAGCAAAAAGGGTTGTGGTTAACAACCAATATATTTAAAATCCTAGATCAGCCTCTGAGTCAATAAGGTTCAATCAGCATCTCTGCCTAGAGACATACATGACACTGATTATTAGCTTAGCATGTTTTATGAGAAAAATTCCAAATGTTAACACCCACACAAAGTGGTGACAAGGAGACCTTCATTCGTCGAGGCCTCTAGAAATTGAATAACGGCCCTAACAGTAAGGAAATTTGACAACAAAAAGTTGGACAAAAGAAAAACTATGTGAAATTGATAATTGCAAACAACTTCATACTATAGTTATGATGCAATTTCTGAAGTATGCTTCACTAAGAACAAGTCTTGTGCCAATAATGCGCAATTACGGGAACATACTTGAAGGTAGCTCTGTGCAAGAGCCTTCCACCTAATGCTGTAGGAATTTTTCCAGAGAGCAAGTTGCCATTGAGATTCCTGTAACAAATTAAAGTAGTACTAGTAAATAAAAGCTCTTTATTGATCAGTCTCATGTCCTCAACTGAGCTCGTTGAAGTAACTTACAGTGTCTGTAATGAGGTCAACTCCCCAAGGCTTTCAGGAATTGACCCGTTGAAGAAATTGTACGAAAAATCCCTGTTGTGCAACTTTTGTTAGGTCATCACCAAGTGAAGATATTTAATCACAGAAATAACCAAGGAACAGTATGCACATCCGCTACCCCCACGTACAAAATTGAAAATCACAAGCCCCCAATTGTTCTATTATAATACTCAAGGAGGAAATGAGATAGTATCGGCAATTCTTCATTTCCTTATGTCAAACTAAAATTATAATTTTCCAAAACCAAGGAGTCTTTTCGAGGAGATTGGGAGAGGATTATAGCAAGTATATATTGTATGTCTAATATAATCAGAAAGTAGTTGGAAAAGCATTATGTTTCCATCTTTCATAATCTATAACTCTGGCAGCAAAGAAATCTGAAACGAGTACGGAAAAGCACATAAGTCTCTGTAAGCTTTACTCACAATTTCTCCAGACTAGTTATTGTTCCAAGTGCTGAGGGAATAGGCCCGTGAATGCTGTTTCCACTTAGATTTCTATGAATTGCACACAAACAAATATAAGTCAGAAGATCATATTTGAGACGTCGGACACTGCATATATACATGATGGAAGATTGCTAAGATTTATTTATCATCAACTCCATTTAAAGTGGTAGAAGATCTTTGACAGAAACATATCTTTCGTCCAAATGGTATATTGCCAAGAAACTCCCATATGTTTATACTTACATGCTCTGAAGATGGCGCAATCGAGAAACATCATCTGGTAAGAAACCATGTAAACCTTGGTTGTCCAGGCCACTGACCTTACAGGAAAAACAGTTTGAAAACACAAGAGTTATTTAAGTAGCAATGAAATTCAAGGGATTTACATTGTGTAACAGAAGACCACGTTAAGATACCAGAAACTTCATGAATATGGTCAAAAGCCAAGCTTTAAGAAAGATAAACTGAGGACACATATTAAGACAAAAGAATAGTAGCATGATAGTGGAAAATATGTTCTCCAATAAAAAATCAAGCTTGTAAAAATATGCATTAGCACAGAGAGTAAGACACGATGTTTCACAATTTTGCAAGTTGATTGCAACAAATACATGCAGCTCCTCCAATACATTCTTAAACAAAAGTCCGAAAGTACAGAAACAGATGCACACTAAAGCAGGCAAGTTGTCCCTGAAAATTTTGAATAACTAGGACATACAATATACAGGAGTCTTGATAAAGCAAACATAATCATGTGGTAATTGTGGGGACCAACAAAGATCAAGAATTATAAAAAGGCAGTCCGAGGCACAAAGCATCATGCGTTTACGTGGAGTCTGGAGAAGGGTCGCACCCCAAGGGGTGTGATGGGCTTAAAAACATTTTTGTTACTCAAAAAGCTAATTATGTTTGTGTGTGCGATTTATTCACAGAAAAGATACGTAATTACATACATACAAAGAGGATGATAAACACTTCTCTATCTGCATTTTTCTTTTCTTTTGACTCCAATTAACACAAATAAATTTAAGTCGACCTTGCATTTTCAAGTAGTCCAGAAACTTGTCCAGTAAAACTTCTAAATTTACGTGGGGAACATCAATAGAAGGAATATATGCCAGCGAAAGAGTGTTATATTTACAAATGTCTGTGTGTGCGCGTGCGTCAAGTGTGTGTGTGTGTGCGCGCGCGTGTCTCTCTGGAAAGAGAGGAACTTTTCTGTCTAAGCTCAGGGTCAAGAACGTACAGCCCATCGATGACCCATGTATTGCTAGTTCTATCGAACTGACAATCTACTCCACTCCATGGATGTCGTTGCGGAAAACATGGATCACCGTTCCACCCAAAACGAAGAGGAAGTCCAAGTGCAAGTTTCAGCGACTGCAAAGCCTTCACTGAAAAAGAAAAGAAGAAAAGAAGTAAAATGAGAAAGTCACAAGCTGGACCAAGGAAAATATAAGTGAAACATCTAAGTTTTACCTTCCTCTGGTGACGTTCTAGATTCAGTGGTTATAACCTCAAAAATCTCAATGGCACTAATGATGGCATGAGTTCCATTTGTGGGATGCAATGTGATAGTCAAAGTCCTGCCACTGACCAGAATGGTTGTGTTCAGTACGACAGCGCTGTTAATACCCCCGGCCATTCTCACAATGTCAACATCTTGAAATACAGTGTCTCCATTTATCGAGATGTCAACGACCCTCTGTCCCACATCTGTAACTGAAGGATCAATTTCTGCAAAGTGTAACCAGACGGAGTAGTTTTTGTTGGGGTCAACGTCTGTCGTGAATGTTAAATCTGGCTCATTGTCAGTACTAACAAGAGCAGTTTGGTAAAGAGCTTGTGGATAGAAGTTTGGCGCTTCGGAAGCTGATTTTATGATGCTTTTAGTAGATATGGGCTTATCAGAATTTTGACCAAAGGTCATGATTGTACTCCAGAACCGATCGCCACCCCATCGATCCCCATTGTAGTCAATGTCAAATTTTGAATTCTGATCTCCACAGCTTAGTCTTTCGTTAGTTCTGAAGATAGTCCCTCGACCAAATCCAGTACCAGAATAATATGCTTTGTCATCTACTTGGAGAATCTCAATTGCAAGTATAGCAGGATCGCCATGACCCGTGCTGTGGAAGCAAAATGAGGCAGTACCATTCTCAAGAAATACAAGAGTTTCAACAAATGCTCGTTCATCGTCGTGATTACTCCAACCAGACGGCAAAGAATAAACCAAGGTCCCTTCAACAGAAACATCAAATAGAGGTTCGTTATCGAAACTTGGTTCTGCAACCAATCCAAAGTAGATCCTCACTGAATAGCGGCCGTGGGGCACTTTATCGATATTGTAACAATTTTCAGGACCCTCTGATAGAGGGAAATACCGTAACGTATCGAGTGGAGGCGTGATGAAACTGGGGCGGGTTGCTTTCTTAGAGATGCCGCCTGTATATCCGAAATCTTTATGCCAGAGGGTATTTGTAGGGGCACTACGAACATCATTTTGAGCTCCACCGCTTATTCGCATTACATATGGTGCTGCAGTGAATAAACAAAATAGCTAGTAAACAAAAGTGCACTTGAAAGAGCTTAATCAATAATAAAGGAGCAGCCCTTTTATTCACGTATAACAGCACTAGCAATCAAAAGAACTGCAGAACAAGTACGGTGATAAGGAAAGCAAGAACCTGTAATAACA